CTTCCCCTGCCCTCCACCAATCACCTTGTCCCCCGGCACCACAAGGCCCTGCCCAAACGCTGGGCTCAGCACGGGCAACGCAGCAGCACTGGGAAACCATTGTGGCTTTCAATAAAGCCAGGAAACAAGGTTTCCCCTGTAGCCTCCTGCCCTATTCCTCCGTTTGGAGAAGGGAAGCAGCGAGCACCTAGCATGGTTACCGAGCCTCAGCTAGCAGAAGCCGAGTAGAACGAGGCTCTGAAGGCGCAGGAGCCATGCGGCCGCTCATTAACCCACCTCGGGTGCTGGCGCGAGGCTCAATTCTCTAGCCACACCGGCAGGGAGATTACTATGGCGTCACCCGGCCTTTGCAACCAGCAAATCGATATTTGTTTGGGCGGGTGCTTGTCATGCGCGAGATCTAAATATTGCCCGGGGGGAGGAGACGCAGGTATGGGTCGGCAGAGGGGACGCTTGGCTTTCGAGCACACGGGCTGCAGTTAGAGTTTGACCGATGCTTTTTAAAATAAATAGAGCTTTGTTTGCAGAATTTACGAGATTAACCTGGCTTTGAAGGGCTTGTCTACAGGGGAAGGGGACAGTTACACTGCTGTAGCTACCCCGGTTTCACTCCCCATGGGGGATACTCTTAGCCCAGAACAACTGTGTCTTTATCTCAGTTTAGCTCAAACCCCTTCCCAAGCCACGTAAACTAAGTCAGACAAAGGCCCTTACACTGGACTAAGAGTGTCCACATGGGGAGTTAAACCAGTATGACTCCAGTTCCCATTGTGACGTTGCACTCCATGTGTTTTATGGAAATATGCTTATGAGTGTGAATATGATGTAACTGGAATATGCTTCATGCAAAAGGTCTCTTGTAAGGTATCATTACAAAGCTTATAATATATTGAGTGTGTTCATCCTATTTGTTTGCATGTATTATTTCTATGCCTGGAGTTAGGAGAATAACATATAAACTTGTGTTACTGATGCAACATATTAAGAGGAAGCCATTAAAGGTGCTTCAGAATCAATGACCTGTAAATGGCTCTGTTTACTTGCAAACCTTCCTGTGTACCTGTGGGCCAGCCCAGGAAGAACGGAGGCTGGGGTCTCACAGGACATGTGACCATGTCACTTGATACTGGAATCCATCTTAAACCTGGTGCTTTTCCATTTAGGAGGAGGGGTGGGGACCCAGAGGGACAAAGGATTCCTGCCTTGTGCCAAAGCTATAAAAGGGGGTGGAGCGGGACAAAGGGGCTTCCAGTCATGAGAAAACCCCTGCTTACCACCTGAGATGTCTGCTGGAACTAACAAGGACTGTCCCAGGGGAAAGGATTGGGCCCAGACTAGGAAGGAGTCTAGTCTGTGAAAGAAGCTTATTGGAACATCTCTGAGGGTGAGCTATTACCTGTACTCAGTTTCTTAATGTATTAGGCTTAGACTTGCGTGTTTTTGCTTTAGTTTACTTGGTGAGTTACTTTGTTCTGTCTGTTATTACTTGGAACCACTTAAATCCTACTTTTTATACTTAATAAATCACTTTTGTTTATTAGTAAACCCGGGGTAAGTGATTCATCCCTGGGGGAGCAAACAGCTGTGCATCTCTCTCGATCAGTGTTACAGAGGGCGGACAATGTCTGAGTTTACCCTGTATAAGCTTTATACAGGGTAAAACGGATGGATTTGGGGTTTGGATCCCATTGGGAGCTGGGTGTCTGAGTGCTGGAGAGAGGTAACCCGCTGAGCAGTTTTCACTGAACGCCTGCAGCTGATCATTTCAGCCAGCTCGGAGCAGGGGAAAAGTCCACAGGAGGGGGGGGCGGACGGGGAGCTGCTGAAGGAAGGGAGATGCAGAAGGAAGACCAGAGCAGACATGTAGAGACAGGGAAGAGGGAGAAACCGGATAAAGGAGGATGGGGAAGGAGGAGAAACGAACGGCAGCACAGCAGTGGCCTACAGCCGCCAAGGTGCCCTTGGTGAACGACGCCCAGTGTCAAGCGCCCAAAAATCACGAGATTGGGTTAAAGATCATGAGATTCGAAAAGACGATAAACCCCAGGTTCTGATTCTTTGCCTTCTGGGTTTTGCACAGCCTGGGGTCCTAGTTCCAAGCTGAGATTTTCCCATAATCCTCTGGTTCCAGGAGCTAAAACACCACATATTGCAAGACTCCCGATAAATCCGCCAGGGTTGGCAACACGGTCTGAATGGGACAATGCCATGATTCCTGCCTGGTTAATGACTCCCTCAGGGCCATATTCTGTCCCTTGACCTCTGTGCAGGGCTCCTATCAACACCCCGGAGACTGCGATGAGGAGCATGGAGCCCGTCCGGGGCCCAGAATGACACACTGGGATTCGGGCCTCTGCGCACAACGAGCGTTACAACCCTGAGCTAGAGCAAAGAGATTCCACTGGGAGTCGAGAGCTGGGCCAGCGCCATGGTCCATCACCTCTTCACAGAAGGCTGCAGAGCAGATCTGAGCTGGTCATTGACAGTAAGGCTGGATCTAGTCTGGCCTCCCACATGTCCCAGACTGGAGAACCTCACCTCTATCTGCTGGGGATCCACCCAACTTCTGCAGCCTCTGATTTGACTGAGAATTTCCTTTTAAACTTCTAATCAGCTCCCCGCCCACAAGAGATTGGCCGGGTACAATTCATTACTGCCGGGGACGAATGAACGTGACCTTCCTCCCCGCGACAAGATGTTTGATTGATTTGGAAGAAAAGGCTAAAAAAACCCCCAAGCTACCCACCCAGCACATCAGAGCTCTGCAGAGCCGAGGCAGCAAAGATTACATTCAGCTCCCGAGGAACACAGACGAACTGCACGGGCTGATAAAGCAGCTTAAGCGTTCCAGCCAAGAAGTGAGGCAGCCGGAGCGGACCTGAGCGAAATGAAGAGCAGCGGAAAGACAAAGGAACAGACGTGGCAGCTCCACTGTACAGAGAGGGAGGGCGCAGCTGCCAGCCTGCCTCGTGGAGCCGCACCGGTCCCGTGGAGAGGAAGAGAGGGGTGAAAGAACCAGAAGGGGGCAAAGCAACTTGGAGGTGTCGGGGTAAATCCACCTGCAGCACCACGTGCGCAAGGTGTGCCCAAGCCGCGACCGTGCCTTGGAACGTAGCTGTAGAAATGAGCCCTCTGACGGCACCGTGTAACAGAGAGGGTGCGGTGGAAAGGGAAAGAGGCTGGCTTTACAATTTGCTGCCCTTCCATAATAATAAATAATTAGCTTCTTTCGTCAGTAGATCTCCAAGCTCTGTAAAGGAGGGCAGCATCATTGCCTCCATTTTACAGATGGGGAAAACGGAGGCACAACGGGATGCAGTGACTTGCCCAAGGTCACCCAGCAGGCCTGTGTCAGAGCTGGGAATAGAACTCGGGTCTCCCATGGCTCAGTCCTCTGCTCAAACCACTAGGCAACACTTCCTCCCATTAAAGCTAGGGAAGCCATCAAATGCTGCAGGGCTTTCCCACTGCAGGGGGCTGGCTGTGATGAGACACACCCGAGGCCCAGGGTGGAAAGGGGGGCAGGACGCAAAGAGACAAGGTGATGATGACCAACCCTATTTTGGGAGGAACCCCTAGAGGGGATGGGTGAACCCGTCTAATGGGCCTATCTCCCTTGTGGGGCAGGGGACTTAACCCAGGCCAGTTTTCATGCTACTGGGCAAATTTACCCAAGCTATAAATGGGTGTGACTCATCTGCAAGCACTTTCACATGGCCAGGATCTGGCCCACAGTTTGTAATTGTATCTAAAACTACGTGCACGGGGTTACACCCTCCAGAAATGCCCTTGCTTGGTGCACTGGGGAGCAGGGCGCTGGCCCAGCGTGGAGTTAAGCACCGGAGTTCTACCAGTGTTCCCGGCCTGTTTAGAGAACTCGGCTGGGCCTTGTCTCTACTAGCAAACTTGAACCGGTTTGATGAAATCGATTTAAAACTCGACTAGTCAAATCAGCGCAAACATCTACTGCAGAGGCACTTCAGTTTGTTTAACTCGCTGGTGATTTGGCTTGTGTCAGAGCACAGGGGAAAGCGGTTTATATGTATGTCCATTAGGCCGGGCTTTGCACCAACGTCACTAGCTCAGTTTTTAAATTGGTTTCGTGAAGCCGGTGCATGCCAAGAACGCCTCCGTTTGCTGTTCCTCGGTGTGTGAAACCCAGCCGCAAAGGCCAGCTGTTGACCTAAGCACGACTGGGCTTCCGCTGTACTTTTCTAGTATAGACAAGGCCTTAGCCTTACTGGGACTGGCCTAGGCATCAGGACATTTCTTTATTCCAACTCCCTTTGAAAGACAAGAGAAATCCCCTGGGGCTTCCCTATGTCCTGAGAACCCCCTTCCACCCCCCCACTTCTGCTTTCTTTCTGGATGACCTACTCTCAAGGGTGCAAAGGAAGCAGAAACCTTCTGCAAGGCCGGACTGGAAATACCCCCTGCAGGTGTATAGAGGCAGCAGAGCTGGCTCCTACCTCTCTAGATACTTAGCTGACCCTCATCGTCGTACTCAGGCGAGCACTCACCATCACTAATGGGTTTTGTCCCCCCAGCACCCCCTGGGAGATCAGGGTGTATTATCCACATTTCACGGATGGGGAACTGAGGCACAAGGTAGAGGAGGAGACTTGCCCAAGGTCACGTGGGGATTCTGTGGCAGAGCCAAGAACTGCAGCAAGGTCCCCAGAGTCCTGGTCCAGTGACCCGCCCAGGGCATTGGGCGCCTCAGGGCAGGCAGGGTGAGCGCAAAGGGGCCCAGCTGGTGTTCAGCCAGCTGCTGCGTTCTCTAGCAGCCAGAGCTCCCGGGCTGGGACAGCGATGGCTCCGGACAGCCCTCTCCTCGGCTGTACCCCACGTAAGCCGCTGGCAATGGAGGACCTGGCCCACTGTCCGCTTATGGGAAGGAGCCTGTTCCTTCCTTGTCTCAAGCACCAGATGGACCATCCGGCTGCTAAGCCCCCTCTCCCTCGGCACTGCCCGCCCCACCCCTTGCAGACACAGCTTACCGCGGAGTTGAATCGGAGGTGGCAGATGTTGCAGGAGATGAACTGCTTCTTCTTGAGTGGGGAGGGGACACCGAAGGTGTGATTGATCACGGCCTTCTGCACGGGATCCATCTGGAAGGGGAGGGAGGGAGGGCACGTGGTTACTCGGCGCTTAATACTGTGCTTCGAACACAGACCAGCAAAGCACCCCAGTCTTGGCTCGGGAGCAGCACACGTTGCAGTGCTGCAATAGGGACATGCAGAATCCCTGCCCAGCCAAAGTCCTGGGGATCCTTTCCTTCCTCGGCTACTGCTGACGGGACCTGCCAACACCTAGAACATGCAGCTCCTTTCTCTGGTTTAGCTGGAGGTCCCCTGCGCTCTAGCAGGGAAAACAAGGACCTTTCGACTCAGGCCTTGGCAGGTAAAAGCATTTCAGCTCCCCTTCAGGGGAGAGGTCTGGCACGTGCCGTCCTCCAGGTATTGTCCGGGCAGAATCCAGACTTGTCCCCATCCCCCCATGTCCAACACACCGGGAGGTTCTGCCAGGCAGTCCGAATGTTCCTACCTCCTATCATATTGTTACAGCAGGAGCCCCAAGAGGGCGCTGTTACACAGTCTTGCAAGATCTTTTTCTTTGCCTGCCAGTGCGTACGGTCTTTGAAGAAGCGCTGCCTCATTGTTTGTTTTACGATGCCCATTCATTCTTTCCGAGGAGCTGTAGCAAGCAGCAGGAGACTTTGGTCCCTGCCTCAGTCTCTCCAACTAGAGCCAATTCTTGCTCTTGGGGAACCGGGCCCTGGTGTTGGCCCGAGATTTCAGAGAGAGCGGCTGTGCCTGCATGCTGTTTGTGACCACCTCTGCTGAAGGACTAACGCACACGGTGTAACTAAAGCACGTTACACTAAGAAAATGTGCAGACTTTGCCTCGCTGGTGTCTCTCCATTGGAAACCAACCTGCAGGGCCCCATGATCTGCACTTGCTCAGCAGAGGGGTGACAATATTTCCTCTCTCCCAGCCTCTGGAGCTTTCCTGCTTTCTCCTGGCTGTTGAGTACCAGGGAGAAATAATTCCTCTTTGTCATCATTTCACCCACAGATCTCAATGCCCGTTAAGTCAATGGCCCCTGAGAGCTGGGACTCATTACCCCCCGTTTACAGAGGGGGCAAACAAACACCAAGAGTGAGGTTTCCTCACGGACACATGGCAAGTTAGTGGCAGTGCCCGGAATAGAACCCAGGAGTCCGGCACCTAGTCCCCCAGGGTAACTGTTCAGGGATAGATCCAGGAAGCTCTCAGAGATTCTCCCTCCTCTCTGATCCCTTCTCCGTTCACAACAGATGTCAATGTCGTGGATGGCAAATTATCGGTTTTCATTTGAGGTCCCCAGCTGCTCTCCTCAGCAGCCCAATGAAACAGGTGCGTTGCCAGGTGACTTAGCTGGAACCTCAGCCACTGAAACAGGGTCTCAGAGTTTGGACCCGGAGGCGATAAAAACGAGACACCAGCCATTAACCCTTTGTTTGCTGTTAATCAGTGAGTAAAATTCACCCCCATGCAAGGCCAGCAGAAGACCTAAGCACTACGGGGTTTACACAGCGCCTGTACCTTGCGCTTTGCCCTCTGCACTGCAGCGAATCTCACCCTAGTGACAACACTTTGCTCTCCTCACACCTATGAGAGGCAGACCCACCGATGGGGGCGGAGCTCGGAACAAGGAACCCTGCAAACTCCCTGCTCCGACGCCTAGACAGCTGCCCAGCCCACAGCTAACGTATTCGTATTCGCCGGGCCGCCAATTCTGGGAGCACTTCGACATCCTTGCTGCCATTGGGATCTAGGCTGAAGCGCTCCCATGCAGGGACTGATGTACAGGGAGGGGAATCCTTGGGGGCCAGCTCACAGTCGCTCTGTGCTTCAGGTCCCCATCTGTAAAGTGGGGATAGTGACCCTTTCCTCCCTCCCCCCTTTGTCTGACTTGTCTATTCAGTTCGTAGGCACTTTGGGGCAGGCACTGGCGCCCTCTACGGGTAAGGAAAGCGCCTAGCACCAGCCAATCTCGATTGGGGCCTGCAATATAAGAAGCCATTTATTTTTCATGCTGTATCCAACTATTATCACAATTATTCGGTAACATTTTTTTATTGGCCAAGGAATCCCCTGGTACTCCACAGGGCGCACGCACTTGCTCTACACAGAACTCGAACAACTCCAGCTATTTGCAACGGGCCCTGTCTTTCTGTGAGTCGATTCATCAAAGGGCAGCGGTTCTGAGACGAGGCAGACGCACACAGCCCAACGACAGCCCCCAGTGGGTCTGTCTCCCCCTGACGCTCAGTGTCATTTTATTCCTCAGCCGGAGCAGTAAACTTATTCGAAAAGCCATAATTGTGTTAAACAAAATGCATTTATTAAGGGGGGAAAATAAGAATAATCTCTTTGTTGGAGTGCAGCTATAATCTATAATGCAAGGATTGTTTCGCTACCCGGAGGCATAGGAAGATTATCTTATCTGCGTCCTGCTGTCAGTGGAGCCTTGGGTTTTCAGGCGATCGTATTTCTCTGCAAAGCTATTTAGTCGCAGAGACAGGTGCATCAGTCTTCAGGGCACATGCCTGGACAACAGAGCCATTATCAAGACCCCAAATTCCATTCCAGGAGTGAGCAGAATGGTAATATCGAGTGATTAATGAAGTGCCTGTTTGCTATGAAATTTTACTCACTTATCTGGAATATAAATGAAGAGGCATTTGGGTTCTGATGGGGGAACCAGAGGCCTCTAGCGATGACAAAGACGCTGCTCCACCTCTGACAACGAACACTGCGGTGCACTCACAGCAGCACCCACACAGTGCAAAAACCAAGAGGAATCTCTCTCCTCCGTGCAGTGCTGCATCAAGGCGCTGTGTCCATGCCAGCATTTTAACCGATAACTGCTGCTCTTCTGCCTTTAAGGAGCTCATCCCCCATGTCTAGCACCTCAGGAGGGAGCCAAGAACCGGAGAAGCCAGGAGGAATGGAGTGGAATTTACAGATCTAAGAAGATGCCATGGGTGGGAAGTTCAGGAAGGTAGCAGATATTTCTTGGGTTTGGTGGTTCTAGCCAGCAGTGCCCATAATTAACTCAGGGAGGAAGGATGGGCTTGGGTTGAGGCATTGGACTGAGACTCCTGAGATCAGAGTTCCCACCTCTGCCACTGGCTTCCTGTGTGATCCTGGCTGGGCAAGTCACAGAACCTCTCCGGGCCCCAGTTCTTCAACTGGAAAAACATAATAATCCTTCCGCTGCCTGGCCCAGTAGGACTGCGAGCTCCTGAGGGCAGGGCAGGGCCCGTCTCTCACGATGGGGCTGTGTGGCACCCAGCCCCACGGGGCCCTGATCTCGGTTGGAGACTCTAGTGCTACCATAATACACAACAGGACAACCACAAATCACAGCCGAGGATTTCACAGACATTTAGGAGAGTCCCAGGAATGTGACACTAAGACCCGGTCACACCCTCAGGGCCGTAGTTAGGTCGACCTGACCCCTTCGGTGAACGTGGCTGGGTCAGCAGAAGAATTCTCTAGCTACCTGGGAGAGGCGGATTGACTCCATGGATGGGAAAACCCCTTCTGTAGGAAACGTCTGCGCTACAGCAGCCCAGCGACAGTGCCGAAGTGACTAAGTCTAGACACGGCCACAAGATCTTCCACCAGTAAAACGAGTTGAATCCAAAAGCGTGCGTGTGCGAGCGCACAAGCGTGCCTACTGGCCCTGCACTGGTTGGGGGAAAATGGGGAATATTTAAGAGTCTGTGAAGGAAACAGATTCTTCCCTCCCATCAATTTAAAATGCCCATGTGAAACGATAGCAGGGGTAGGCTTCCTATGGCACACGTGCCAAAGGTGGCATGTGAGCTGATTTTCAGTGGCACTCACACTGCCCGGGTCCTGGCCACCGGTCCGGGGGGCTCTGCATTTTAATTTAATTTTAAATGAAGCTTCTTAAACATTTTAAAAACCTTATTTACTTTACATACAACAATTGTTTAGTTATATATTATAGACTTATAGAAAGAGACCTTCTAAAAACGTTAAAGTGTATTACTGGCACGCGAAACCTTAAATGAGAGTGAATAAATGAAGACTCGGCACAGCACTGCTGAAAGGTTGCCGACCCCTGGACTATAGTGTCCAAGCCTGTGTTAGACACGGAATAGACCAAGACACAGTTCAGAATACAGTTTGGAGGTTGTTACTAAGGTGACTGAAATATACCTAGTTTTTTGTGTGCAAAATTTAGAAAGAAACAAAATATTGTTATTCTGGGGAACGTTTTTTGCGGAAATATTCCATTTTTCCATTGAAACGCAAGCCAAAATTTGATGTCTGCGCTCTTCCCCCCTTTCCACTCCTTTTTTTCCCACTAGAAAAGCAGGAATACGGAAAAACTGAAAACATTACGCTGAATTGTAAAAATGGAAATAAAATATTTTTGTTTCATTCTGATGAAAAACAGGCACATTTTGAAGAAGCCAAGCATTTGCACAGAAAATTTTTGAATTGTTCAAAATGCCATTATTTGGGGGGGGGGGGAACACCTCAACCTTTTGATGACAAAACGTCAGCCAGCTACAGGCATCACACCTATGTCCTGCCATACGAGGATGCAAGGAGGGATGGTTTTGTGGTTAATGCTCCAAACTGGGCACCAGGACTCCTGGGTTCTATTCCCAGCTCTCCCACTGATTTGCTGCAAGTCACTTCCTCGGTCTGTGCCTCAGTTTCCCCCGCTGTAAAAGGGGGATGGTGACACTGCCCTGCCTCAGAGAAGAGCTGAGCCGTGGAAATTCATCGATGGTTGATAGACACATGGAGACTTGGGGCTGGAAGATGGGCAAACGATTATTATTTTTATTATAAAAGTACCAGATTTTGATGCCTGGTGAAGCTTTGGGCCAGACTCCCAGTGGGTTTAAATGGGCATTTTCCCATCGACTCCAGCGGAGCTTCGCTCCTTGAGACCAGCCGAGCAGCTGAGAGAAAGGCTCAAGGGGCACTTGTTAAAGATTGTTCAACTATTTAATCAGATGGATTAATAGCAAAGGGGAAAAAACCTCCAACGCATGGGGAGAGCAGATCTGATTGG